CTTAAAGGATGAATTGTATCTGTAATAATGTGTATCTACATTATTCATGATGTGATGAAGCATTTTGCTTTTTCTTTTTTCTCGGCTTTGCCTTTTCTATTAAGTAAGTCTCTTTGAGATGCTTGATGAACTTCAGATTTTCTGAGGCTGCTTTCACTCCAGTGAAAGCATGAAATTAAGTGATCAAGACTTTCTTCTTGGATTAAGATAGTTATCTTAGATGGATGATAATATTTGTATTGACATTGTCAATGGGCTGTTAGCCTTTCAGATTGCGATGTGAGATTAAGATTGGTCTTAATCCCCAATTGTAGACTATTGTAGCCAAGTGATGATGACATTTGTCTATCACCTGATTTAAATGGTCTGTAGGCTGTAGATTCAAGTGATTTTTTAGACACTTTGTGTCCTTTTCTTTTCTGTTTCAGTTGCTGGTGGAATACTGTCAGCCATTTTGACCTTTTCCGAGTTTCGGAGATTCCGAGATTTTTCTCTTTTTTCTGATAAATATGTATGATGTTAATGTATTTTGATAAATGAGCTTTCCTGTCTACTTAGGTAATGATTCCAAAGATCGTCCTTCATTTCCTCCCTGGAATCTGGTTGTAGCAGGTGTTCAATTATCAAAAGTACTGTAATAATTTGATTTGTGACCCGAATGCACCAAGTTGGTAAATCCTGTAATAATTTTTTAAAAATAGTAAATGGCACTATTTTTGCAAAGTTATTACAAAATCTGTTACCCTAATAGTTGTTAGATAAAATACAGTAGAATGTCTACTGGTTTTACCTGGAATAGGGTATGATATAGTTGATTATGGTTAGATTGTAAGGAATGCTCTTACAGTGATGATAACACTTTTTTAAAGAATATTATGTAATGAGCAGCTCTGAAAATCAGTAGATTAGAGATAATGCTAGATAATACACTTAAATATATATGTAATGTTACCACAATGAGGTAGATAATGATATTTTATGATTAAGATGCAGTGCAGTGTCTTTGACACTGATATACTTAAGTACTGTTGTTTCTTAACACAAAACAATATCAGTATGCTATGAATGCTTACTAGATAATGGATATGGTGGCTTAAGCCACTGCAAACTATTTGCTTACTTAGATATATAGCTATGATAAATATTGGCTGATAGCTAGGCTAGGCTAGAATATGTAAGAATTATTCCAATGCAAAATCAAGAAGTTTCTTATGTATTTGGCATTGAAATATTCGGTAAATGAATGATCATAAATATCTAGGTACAAAAGACCATTATTATCTAGGTTCGAAGGACCATTAATGTGGGAAAAACCTGCTGGGATTGATATAAGAGGAAACTACCAGGGACTTTTACTGAACTAAATTAAAAATTCACTGTCTGCTAATTAATTCAACTAAAATCTCTAGCTAGGGTTGTAATTCCTAGATCCTCTTTTCCTAATGACAAACTGTGGGCTGTAAGGGACAGGTGGGGTGAATGACTTGTTGATAGAAGTTCCAATCCACCTGTAGACAGGGATCTCACATCAGCTTGTATTTTATACAAGGATAAGATTTGATAAATTCAGTTATATGACTGAACACTGGCTCTGTTTAAATCAGGGATTTAAACATACATAGTCTAACCTAGCACCATAACTTAACAGCCAATATGTACTTATACTATAAACAACAAATTAAATTGTAAAAGTATAAATAAATGACCTTAAATGTAGTCTTAATACTATTAACTTAGTACTAGAAATTATATTCAATTAAATGAACTTATATGATAACTTAAAAATAACTAAGCAAGCAATTGATAACTTAATTTATATATTCAAATATATATGCAGACATATTCACTTATATGATACAGTTAGCTTGACTGAATCTCTTCCAAGACTGTGGACACTTGTGAGGTTTTTACTTATTGAGGCTGAATTCTTTTCTGACAGAATGGACACTCATGAGGTTCAGTGCTTGGATAAGATTCACAGCTACACTACAATTTTAATAAACGTACCGATGAATGAGGCTTTGCCTCGCTTTTTAACCAACAGACAGATTTATAGGATATTAAAGCTACACAAGCATACAATTGGCCAATCATATACCAAATAACCTTCAATATACTTCTCTGCCAGTCGGGGTGCCTGTCTGACAAGTTTGCCAGACTGATTAACTCTCTTGTCGAGTTTAGGCACGATATTTTGCTACAGCGTTGCTGTATGATGATCTGGTAGCGTTGCTACGTGATTTTCTTTAACTGCGTTGCAGAAGAATGATATGATAAAGATAAAGAATGAAGGTGGAGGAAACCGTGTCACCGTGATCTCCACTATACACTCTATTTTATGTGAATGTTCTAGGATTTTCCTTGTAGATATTGTCCAGGTACTCCCCCAGTTCTAGAGAGTATTCACTGGCGATAAAAAATATTAGATAAGGTGTCCTTGAGCTGGTAATGTTCGCTAAGGATCAGTCACTTGTTCACTCATTTGTAAACAAACGCGGAGTGCCGCGAGGCATCGTCGTGGGCGCTTCTCGCCCCCCGAGATGCCCCTCCCTCTCCCTTGAGAGGTAACTTTCAATGAATATTGATTGATTATTTTTACAGTCTAGACTTATGATTAAGATAAGATGTGATTATAATATAATTAGATATAAGATTTAAAGATTATAAGTAGTATTTGAAAGTACCACTGATTCTTAATAAGGATTCGATATTATCCCTACCGGATGTTGAATAAATGTTCCAATAGTTTTTTAATTAAGAAGTCCTTCTAGAAGCTTCTGGATCCTTGAGAAATCATGTACAAAGTCACGTAGGCATCAAAAGGGCCCCTGTTGCGTACGTGTTCATGGTGCCATTGTCATCCAGGATCAAGCTATAATGAATCTTTAATGATTCTAATATAATTTTGATACAATTTAGATATGATTTTGATATGATTTAGATATGATATAGAAATTATACATTTCTTAGATGATTATTAGATATGGTGGGTAAAAATTTCCCACAATTTATTAGTTTTAGTAAATCTTGTTAATTCAAACGTTAGACACAATCTTCTTATTACTTCAAATTGTTCTGATTACAATGTTTTTTTTTCTACTGTAGTAATAGTAATAGTAGTAGGCATCCATCAGTCTCAGGAGACTATGGAGTTGCGCTCTGGTTGTCGAGGGTGGAGTGGGCCCAAAGCCTGGGTAAGTCAATATGGAGGGGAAGCTGTTACCCATGCAGCAGGTTGATATGGAGGAGAAGCTGTTACTTATGCATCATGTCGATATGGAGGAGAAGGTGTTACCCATGCAGCAGGTCGATATGGAGGAGAAGGTGTTTCCCATGCAGCAGGTCGATATGGAGGAGAAGGTGTTACCCATGCAGCAGGTCGATATGGAGGAGAAGGTGTTACCCATGCAGCAGGTCGATATGGAGGAGAAGGTGTTACCCATGCAGCAGGTCGATATGGAGGAGAAGGTGTTACCCATACAGAACCTTAAAGTTTTCTACTGTAAGTTTCTCATTACCTGCTTCCTTTGTGTGAGTGTTCCATGAGGCAGGTGCGAGGTGACTGTGGGTGAGGCAGTCGATCTCCATCTGACCCACTCAGCCTACCGGTCTCTCCTGCACCTAACTGGCTCTGACAAGATCATTGACTAGACAAGATCACTTCTCTTGAAGTGTCTTCAGAGGTCTTACAAGTCATCTTGCATGCCAGTATTATCTTAGTAGTTTGTGAATTATAGTGCTGAGCTCATCTCTGGTAGTTCGTAGTGCTTGTGTTTGGTAGTTGCTTCAACAACCTCCTGTCTTGGATGGCTCATTTGGCTTCTGCTGGATTGGATTTTATTCAGCTTTGTGTGAGTTGAAATGCAGTTGAATAGTCAACGAATATTAATTACATCATTCAACTGTTCATCATATGTTTAAGAACTCTTAATGTAGAACATAACTTACCTGTCTCCATCTACAAGTTGCCTTTCAATTTTGCCTTAGATGACTTGAAACCTTATCAATCTCGAGAGATTAGAGCCATCTGTGTAGACATGTGCAAGGTAATATTGTAGACATCTGTATCTTGTAGACGTCAGCGAGCGTTCTTAGACCTTTGCTTTGATAGTCATCTACGGTAGTAATGTCTTGGGTAGAACGTGAATATTACAGGTTCTAAACAAATATATTACATGTATATACATATATATATATATTTTTTACTACAAATGTGCATTAGTTTTTTGTTTGTTCCTTAAAATTTTGTGACGGTGCTTGAGCTGAATTTTTCAAACTCTGGAGCGCAGGTAGAGAGATCAGCTGCCTGTTTGAGATCAGCTGCCTGTTTGAGATCAGCTGCCTGTTTGAGATCAGCTGCCTGTTTGAGATCAGCTGCCTGTTTGAGATCAGCTGCCTGTTTGAGATCAGCTGCCTGTTTGAGATCAGCTGCCTGTTTGAGATCAGCTGCCTGTTTGAGATCAGCTGCCTGTTTGAGATCAGCTGCCTGTTTGAGATCAGCTGCCTGTTTGAGATCAGCTGCCTGTTTGAGATCAGCTGCCTGTTTGAGATCAGCTGCCTGTTTGAGATCAGCTGCCTGTTTGAGATCAGCTGGCTGTTTTACCCAGAACAATATCCGCTACTTGCTTTACAACCAGGTTCCCAGTTACTGCTAGAAGCACAGAGGCGGACAATGAAGGGACGTTGCCTAATCGTCGTTATAATTGCGAGAGCAGCAGGTTGGCGCTGACTACTCAGCTACAGAGCGCTATGCACTTACTCCGTTCACTAATGATGCCAAGAAACTAATGTTCATTTTCGCATAATATATAAGACAAATGTTTTCCCCCCTCGTCATTTAATAACAGGTTGCCACATACAGCATATGAACTCTTAATATCCCTTGATATATATATATGTATACGTGTTCTCCTTGAACAATGTTCTTCAACCAGGGGCCATATTATATATATATATATATATATATATATATATATATATATATATATATGTATGTATGTATGTTTGCTGTTAGGAACAGCACTTTTGGCCTCGAATGCCGTCAGAAGCAGCCACGACTGAAGCAGCCACGACTGAAGCAGCCACGACTGAAGCAGCCACGACTGAAGCAGCCACGACTGAAGCAGCCACGACTGAAGCAGCCACGACTGAAGCAAGCCACGACTGAAGCAGCCACGACTGAAGCAGCCACGACTGAAACAGCCACGACTGAAGCAACCACGACTGAAGCAGCCACGACTGAAGCAGCCACGACTGAAGCAGCCACGACTGAAGCAGCCACGACTGAAGCAGCCACGACTGAAGCAGCCACGACTGAAGCAGCCACGACTGAAGCAGCCACGACTGAAGCAGCCACGACTGAAGCAGCCACGACTGAAGCAACCACGACTGAAGCAGCCACGACTGAAGCAGCCACGACTGAAGCAGCCACGACTGAAGCAGCCACGACTGAAGCAGCCACGACTGAAGCAGCCACGACTGAAGCAGCCACGACTGAAGCAGCCACGACTGAAACAACCACGACTGAAGCAGCCACGACTGAAGCAGCCACGACTGAAGCAGCCACGACTGAAGCAGCCACGACTGAAGCAGCCACGACTGAAGCAGCCACGACTGAAGCAGCCACGACTGAGCCAGACTGAAGCCACGACTGAAGCAGCCACGACTGAAGCAGCCACGACTGAGCAACCACGACTGAAGCAGCCACGACTGAAGCAGCCACGACTGAAGCAGCCACGACTGAAGCAGCCACGACTGAAAGCCACGACTGAAGCAGCCACGACAGCCACGACTGAAGCAGCCACGACTGAAGCAGCCACGACTGAAGCAGCCACGACTGAAGCAGCCACGACTGAAGCAGCCACGACTGAAGCAGCCACGACTGAAGCAGCCACGACTGAAGCAGCCACGACTGAAGCAGCCACGACTGAAGCAGCCACGACTGAAGCAGCCACAGCGAACCACAGAACAATGTGCGTGACCAAAAAAGTAAACAAAAGTAGATGAGAGCATCTATAAAACAGCGATAGCGATCACAAGATGGTGTGTTCGGACGTGTAATATTGCTGGTGTTCGGAACGAGGCTTCTCACCGATGCGAACACCTCCCCCCTCCCCCGTACACGCAACATTGCTCTTCATGCATAACTTTTCCAAGTGTTGCTTTAAGAAGCTCCCAAAGACTTCGCTGCTGCCGTTTGAACCTATTTTATTTGGCTATTAAATTTGATAATGCGATATTTGATATTTATATATATCTCAAAGTGACTATATAAATAGTTTCATCAATAAATAAAGTTCACGGACAACTTGTGGTAATGTAGTTCTCATTCTATGTGTAATTACAGAATGTCTTGGCTACTGAATGAGGAGGAAATATTTCCGTGATAACTATCGAAGATAGATCATATTAACGACAATTCTCGCGATGTCCTCGAGCTGGTTGTCTAAGGCGGTGTAGATTGATGGATTGTTGACGCTGGAGGCGCCTAGTTTATTGTGCACCCCATACTCATCCTGTGAGCGGTAGCGCAAAAAAAGGATTACAGAGGGCACAAAAGGTCTTTATCAGACCTCAACGGAGATTATTACATTAACGGAGAGTGGTGAGACGTCCTGACACAACCTTCACCGCTGACCAGACTGGATCTCACCTACTAGCACTTATGGGGATTGAGCTCCAGCTCTTTGACTCCGCCGCTAAACCTGTACTTGGCTGGTGTACAAGTTGCCGAGCCTTTTGCCTCCAGTGTTGTTTATTTTTTACACAGGTGGGTACCGCAGCAGACGACTCCTCTTAGCAAACTGAGAGGTTTCTCGTCCCACAGCCTTACTCACTAGTGTTTCCCCTGGAACACAACTCACCTGTCTGTTAACAACCAGGTACCCAATTACCGCTGAGTGAACAGGAGCGAACAGTCCCTGGTTGGGACTCGAACCCAGACCAAGTCGCTCCCAAAGGCTCTGGGTGAGTGTTTTACCACTGTGCCACCTGGGACTGCGTATGCCAGTTTGTCACAACTCTGACAGTAAAATTTGCTGTTTCTAGTGTCTCTAAGAATCATTCCGGGACGTGGTTTGTACCTGTGTTCCTTCGTGCGTGTACCATCCATGTTAAACAGTACCCTGAGAAATCCGTTGGTAGGGATTATGTATCGCTACCAACGGATTCCTTGACGTTAATCTACTCCTGTGATGGTATTATTCGTTAAGTCTTCCCACGTAAGCCGGTTGGGAGCCGGTCGGCCGAGCGGACAGCACGCTGGACTTGTGATCCTGTGGTCCCGGGTTCGATCCCGGGCGCCGGCGAGAAACAATTATCAGAGTTTCTTTCACTCTATGCCCCTGTTACCTAGCAGTAAAATAGGTACCTGGGTGTTAGTCAGCTGTCACGGGCTGCTTCTTGGGGGTGGAGGCCTGGTCGAGGACCGGGCCACGGGGACACTAAAGCCCCGAAATCATCTCAAGATAAACTCAAGATATACGTAACTCATACCTCTCAGCTCTAGTACTAGTCTAGTGGCAGACCTTCGAACTGGCTAGCCTTGTTTTGTGTTTAACGATATCTGGACTCACATCTGGCGTTGCATATGCCAGAGCTGGTCTGACATATGTTGTGCACCGCGTTATTCCTCTGACCGGATTACGGATGCAGGTGGTCAAGTCTCTCAGTAGTTGACCTAGTCCCATATTACCGGAATTAATTAAGCAAATCGTAAGAAAACGAAATGGGCTCACCATAGCCCGTGCTACTTCCCCCCCAAACACACACCGAAACTACGACGTTGGTACAACGTTCGAACAAGATTTAACACCACCTAACCAGTTATAACAACCAATATAGCAAGTTGTAACAACGTTCTAATACGTCATAAACACGTTAAGCCAAGATGTAACAAGTTTATTACAAGTTGTAACAAGCGGAAAATAGAGACAGTTTCGGTTTGTGTTTCCAGGGTTGGAACTTTTTGTTCCAGGTAGCGAATCTTAAACAACAACAACAACAACAACAGCAACAGCAACAACAACAACAACAACAACAACAACAACAACAACATCAACAACAACACCAACCGGTATTAACGCCAATATAAAATAAAAATTACAACAGTACAAGGGACAGGTCACAACAGACAAGGGACAGGTCACAACAGACAAGGGACAGGTCACAACAGTACAAGGGACAGGTCACAACAGACAAGGGACAGGTCACAACAGTACAAGGGACAGGTCACAACAGTACAAGGGACAGGTCACAACAGTACAAGGGACAGGTCACAACAGACAAGGGACAGGTCACAACAGACAAGGGACAGGTCACAACAGACAAGGGACAGGTCACAACAGACAAGGGACAGGTCACAACAGTACAAGGGACAGGTCACAACAGTACAAGGGGCAGGTCACAACAGACAAGGGACAGGTCACAACAGACAAGGGACAGGTCACAACAGGTACACAGGGACAGGGTCACAACAGTACAAAGGACAGGTCACAACAGTACAAGGGACAGGTCACAACAGTACAAGGGACAGGTCACAACAGACAAGGGACAGGTCACAACAGACAAGGGACAGGTCACAACAGTACAAGGGACAGGTCACAACAGAGGAAGAATCCCACTTGTAAATTCCTAATTATCCTCCAATATTTTCGGACAACTAACAGCCTTGTTCACTCCTGGATCACATAGTTCACAGCTTCATAAAGAGACTTTGATTGGACATAATTCAATTACGTTTCTAGCTATGAATTACTAACAAGAATCAACTTTATTAATATGAAACGCACGAGAGGTCAGATCTTACCTTGACGTGTTCTGTTCCTGTTTTTGACTAGAACAAGACGTGTCCTGTTCCTGTTCTTGACTAGAACAAGGCGTGTCCTGTTCCTGTTTTTGACTAGAACAAGACGTGTCCTGTTCCTGTTCTTGACTAGAACAAGACGTGTCCTGTTCCTGTTCTTGACTAGAACAAGACGTGTCCTGTTCCTGTTCTTGACTAGAACAAGACGTGTCCTGTTCCTGTTCTTGACTAGAACAAGACGTGTCCTGTTCCTGTTCTTGACTAGAACAAGACGTGTCCTGTTCCTGTTCTTGACTAGAACAAGACGTGTCCTGTTCCTGTTCTTGACTAGAACAAGACGTGTCCTATTCCTGTTCTTGACTAGAACAAGACGTGTCCTGTTCCTGTTCTTGACTAGAACAAGACGTGTCCTGTTCCTGTTCTTGACTAGAACAAGACGTGTCCTATTCCTGTTCTTGACTAGAACAAGACGTGTCCTGTTCCTGTTCTTGACTAGAACAAGACGTGTTCTGTTCCTGTTCTTGACTAGAACAAGACGTGTCCTGTTCCTGTTCTTGACTAGAACAAGACGTGTCCTGTTCCTGTTCTTGACTAGAACAAGACGTGTCCTGTTCCTGTTCTTGACTAGAACAAGACGTGTCCTGTTCCTGTTCTTGACTAGAACAAGACGTGTCCTGTTCCTGTTCTTGACTAGAACAAGACGTGTCCTGTTCCTGTTCTTGACTAGAACAAGCCACCAATTACCAGATTAAGGTAATTACCATATTAAAGGATAAGGTCAGATCACTCCCACTGCTAGGTGGGTTAACACTAAATTAACCCAATTAGCGTTATTTAAGGATTATAGCGAGCATGGGAGAGCCTTGGTGCGTTGTGCAGCGGAGGACCACACTGTGGGAGAGGCAGGGAGAGTGTGCCTGGGAGAGTTATATGGGAGGTCGTTCCCTCCCTGGGAGAGCCATATGGGAGGTCGTTCCCTCCCTGGGAGAGTTATATGGGAGGTCGTTCCCTCCCTGGGAGAGTCATATGGGAGGTCGTTCCCTCCCTGGGAGAGCCATATGGGAGGTCGTTCCCTCCCTGGGAGAGTCATATGGGAGGTCGTTCCCTTCCTGGGAGAGCCATCTGGGAGGTCGTTCCCTTCCTGAGAGAGTCATATGGGAGGTCGTTCCCTCGATCCCTGGGAGAGTTATATGGGAGGTCGTTCCCTCCCTGGGAGAGCCATATGGGAGGTCGTTCCCTCCCTGGGAGAGCCATATGGGAGGTCGTTCCCACCCTGAGAGCCATATGGGAGGTCGTTCCCTCCCTGGGAGAGCCATATGGAAGGTCGTTCTGGCACTATGGCCCTCACCCTGTTATAGTGTTAATACCCCCACGGGCCTTCTCAGCCGCTGGGGGACGTGATTCCCGGCAATAGCCGGTAATTGGGTCATTACTGAACCATTATGTCTAACTGCTTCACTAACAACGTATCTGCATCGTTCCCCCCCGGAGGTGTAAGACCTCTTTGTCCACCAGGTGCTCTATCATGCCTCATTCCTGCCTCATTCCTGCCTCATTCCTGCCATTCCTGCCTCATTCCTGCCTCATTCCTGCCATTCCTGCCTCATTCCTGCCTCATTCCTGCCATTCCTGCCTCATTCCTGCCTCATTCCTGCCTCATTCCTGCCTCACACCTCCTTCCTCACACCTGTGAGGGAGGCACTCATCTACACCAGGTGTAGCCTGAAGTGGACTACGTTGTGTACTCTTGTGTGTGATTTGTTGCGAGGACTGGTTCCAGAGGTGTGAGGACTGACCTCTGAGGAAAGGTACAGGGGACTTGATGCTCGCAATGATGAT